TCAAATTTTTCTGTAGGATGTCCTATTGATATATTTGGAGATGGTAACCAACAATATCCAAGCCTCACAAAATTCTTCAAAACTGGTGCTGATTTTTCACGACTAATCTGGTATCCACAAAAAGATGTTGATCGTTCAGTCATATGGAAGGCGTCAAAATACGACCGAAAACCATTTCCTCCAATTGTACCATATCAACAATTTTCTGAAACAAATTTAACAGCTGTTAGCATGCAAATCGCTGATGCTTTCACTATAATGAACATGTTAGCAGCAGACACCGAAGAATATTATTCACTTGTTAATTCAATTTTTGATCAACTCCAACCGATTGGAAAACAAGAGTTTTTCGATATATATTACAATAGTTTACCTATGGATAACCATTTGTCATTTAAAATACTACCAATATCATTCACTGAGCTTTGGATTCCTATTGAAAAAACAAAAGAAGTAATGAACATTCTTCGAAACTATTATTTAACACATGGTGTTAATGCAACTGGTAATAACGCTTTAGAAATATATACAAGTGGTAAAAGTCATTTTTGGCTTAGTCCATCATATAGCACAGATGCCGTTCGATTTGATTGGTATTGGTTTGACAATAATCCAATTGGAACTGCACAGAATTTCTTTCAACAGTTTTGGGACTTATTGAAGCCATTTGAATATCGTTGCCATTGGGGAAAATATTTACCTGATGATTACAATGGACACCGGCTACATAAATTGTATCCAATGTTAGAGGAATGGTTGAAAATAAGGAATGAAATGGATCCAGAGCAAGTATTTGTTACATCATATTGGCGCAAAATATTTTCTATTAAAAAGCTTGAAAAGTGAAAACTAACCATTATATTGTATTATTTATAATTTTTTAATCACGCCAATGAGTTTATATCATTCAATCGACATTTATAATATATGTAACAATACTTATTCAAGCTGCTTTCCTATTCGTTTCTCTTGTTCTCTCATCATTTTTCGTTCTACATTATCATCAATAAACACTGATCAAAATGTAAAGAATTACTGGCTGGAAGCGTTTTTATGTTGCAACTACAACTGATCCAAATCGTGCACGTAATTGTTACTTTTTGTTTCGAAAATAATCATGCATGCCAAAGATTGTAACTGATATAAGAGTAGAGCGAGGGTATTTAATACGATTTTCTGATGTGTTCCTTCCAATATGTGTAACTTTTCCCTTTTTAATTATTTTCTGGCGAGCTTCGGCGGATACATAGAGTGATGTATTCTGTTCATACGTATCTAAAAATGATCAAAATGCGACACACACATGCGTATCTCCCACCTGTTTTCAAATGACTTCGCACGAGGCTATGATGTAAATGCGCTAGACGGATGGGGAAACGCGATAACTGCATGAGAGTATGGTGTGGGTGTGGTGTGGAGATGTGAATGCTGTGCTAATATGAGTGGGTATGACTGAAACGAAGATTCTTACTCATACCCACACTCACCTTAAAACAAAAACAAAAGAAATTACTCGACTTTTAGTGCTATCAAGAGCCAACAGTACTCTATCCTTTTTCAAAGTTAATGGAAGGTATTGGTAGAAGTGTGGAGAGTCTTTGCGAAGAGAAAATATCCTCAGCTCCATACCCGAATCATATCCAACTTGATTCTACCCTAATCCGACATGATTCGAATCTGGGAATGGAAAGAATTTTACCGTAATATCTTGTTTCAGATGTCATTTCATACGATGGATCTCGATAAGTTCCTAATGCCTAATAATAGTGAATCATATAGAATCTTATCATTACTGATGACACCAGTCCGATCGAGACTGGATGAATTTGGTAAAGGGATATACAAGAAAAGTGATGTAAGTCATTGAATTATGGTAGGAAGTATCTCGTTGGATTCGATTGTCGAGTGTATTCGGAGTTTAAACTCGTCCGATAAGTTCTAACCTAGCTTAATTGACTTGGGATCAAATTCGAGAAGGGTAGTGACGCATCTTCTCTATGAATGATACGGTTTTGCTCTTTTGGGGGATATCCTACAGTTTTCTCCATCATACTTCATTCATTCAGCGCAAGTTGAGTACGGCACAAAGAAGAACGGCACTCAACGATTCTAAAAATATGAGGATGCCAATGCATGCATTTTATGAAAGAACAGTAAAAACTAAGTGAGGTAAAATGATTTATTTTTAAAAAGAACTGGATTAGATGAACTACCATACTCATCTTATCCCTCTTCCCCTTCTACCTATGCGGATGTCCACAGTTATAAGGTATATTTTAGTAGAAAAGTCAAGCAAGATGTTCTCTCAATTATAGTCAAACACTAAAATAAGGCGATCCCAAACCGACATTGACACTCGATGTATAATAAATATTCTCAATACAAATATTCTTTAAACGTTGTATTCATAAGTCGTGTTCGTTTTTGCGATGTTCGTACGTAACATGGCTATGTAATATATCTAAATGAATTAGATTTTTTGAATGACTTTTTATATGTGTCATCGCTAAAATTGGCGAGAGAAATCGTTTCTGATTTTCATCAACGTCATCTATCATAAGATTAATATTGTACAAACAAATGTATTTTAATTGTGGCAATATTTGTGCTAGTTCAAGAAGAAATGATAAATGATAATCACCTTTGGATCGGCATATAAGTCGACTAATGTGTTTTAAAGATGAAACATTAAGTTGATTGAGTAGTTCAATCATGTGTTTTGATGTGGTGGTAGACAAATCGAGTTCAGTTAAGTTTGATGCTTGAATTAATAACTTCGAAAAAAATTTCATTTCATTTGCTGTTATATTGAATTGAGGTTTTAACCAGTACTAGATTTTAGTTAATGTCGGCAAAGTAGATGAAAACTGAAGTTCATCCTGCGTAAGTTTTTTTCGATTCTCTATATGAACTGTTCTTGCATTGTATAAATCTTTTAATGGTTGTGTCACGCGTCATAATAAGTGAAATTATTAATTAACGAATCACCAATACTAATCTTTTTCGACATTGTCGAGTGATATTGAAAATCATGTACATATTATGCGCTGGCAATTTCTCAATTATTTGTAAGCGATCGTCTGAGAATGATAACGATAAAGAGCAAAGTGATGTATGAATCAGATATTGGAATATTCTTAAACTTGGTAAAATATTTTTGAAAGTTACAAATACATTTTGTAGAATGAATAAACTATTGATGATCGCTTTTAACGATTAGTATCAATGTTTGTACGGTATTTTCATAAAACAGAAGTAAGAATTTTTTTAAAATCTCAAAAGTGGATTCATGGGGCTCGCCAGACATATGTCCGATTTTTAAATGTAGTTTTTTGAGTGACATTAATGTTGATGGAACTACCATTTTTTTTTCTGAATAAAAATGGGATCCAACATTATTAAAATTAAAGTTAAATCTTCAAGATTAATCATAATTGGTAACAGGCAATATAGGGTTTCAACAGTTGTCAGCAGTAGTGTCAATAATTTGAGTTGTGGCATCTGAGTTTTAGTATTAGAGTCTTCAAAAGTAAACGCTGACATTAATAAAGTAAAATTTGTTAATGTTGACGATGCATTCTGAACAATACTTTCAAAAAAAAAACGACTAAATAACAATACCATTCAATACGAAGATCGGTTAAGCGCTGCAAAATGTTTCATTTGATTAACATAGAATCTGATGTCAGCTGTACGAAAGTTATTGTCCTTTGTATCTAAGCTCAAACATTGCAGGATGTTTATTAGCTGTAATAGTGTGCCTTTGAATAGGTTTAATTGATGATAATATTTTAACCTTAATTTTCGTACGTTATTTTTGTGAACTGGTAATACTTGTTTACAAAATCTTTGGTACAATGTAAATGAAACATTACTAAAGTTCATGTCATACGTATAAGGTTCAATTCGTTGTTGAAAATGACTATTTAGATTACTAAATGAGTATAGAATGTCGATGTTATGCAAGCAGTTAAAAGTGAGTAACCATAATTCATCTGGTAATTGTTGCGTTTGTTTTATTGTTCCTCAAGGCAGAAATAAAAGAGTGAAATTCCTGTAGTTCTGAGCGAGTTAGTGCGCAATCTTGTAATCCCTCTCCCACAGGTTAGAAGCCTAGCTAGTTTCTCATTTGCTTTGTAAGTCAAGAGTTTGAAGAGGGGCTCCTATTGTGACCAACTGTTTTTTTGTATGACAGCCATTCTTTCATTATTTTACTAGTATAGAAATGCTCAACACCTCATATATCGAAACTTTTAAATGATATGACTGATTTCAGAATAGCTATTATAGCTTTTGTCGAATCAAAGATTGATTGTGAGTTCTATACCAGTCTCTCACTACTAAGGTTAAACTATTTTTTACATGCACATGCTCATCGGTCGACAATGCTCGGTAGATCCTGATATGAATACGAACAATCATGCTTAATAACACTTTTTAGCTAACGTAAGAAAGGGTGTGGGTGTGAGTGTACGTGTCTGAATTAAAAGAAATTCTACATTCGCACCCACCCTTGTCATGAATCCCTGAGCAAATAATCATTTAGAGTATATTCTGCATAAACAGCTCAAATTGAATTCAAATACAAGAAAACATGTGTCCAATGAAAAATCTCCATCTTGTAAGTCGTGTTCGTATCTTTTCTACATTTTAAATTGCTTATTCTGCACATAGTTCGATTAATTATTTAAGCAGTGACTGATGAATAGTCAGCTATTTAAAATATATAGAGCATATTGAAGACAACTAAAAACTAGGCTAAATAAAAAATGGAGAAAAGTGAACTGTGATGATCACGAAAGAATGATTGATAAAATTCCTAAAAGATTTGACGAAATAATAAAAAGAATTAGAAAACAAGGATGTGAATGTGGGTCTCCTATTTATTGACATCACACCCACACGAAGTTTACTTATATTATAATAAGTAAATCGAAATTTCTTTGATACAAATCACAGAATAGAAAAATTAAGACAATTTGTTTTTGTCATGTTTTATTTCACATCTTTGGTGTGTTCAAAGGTTTTCCATTGGTAATAAATGCATGCATATTTTCAAACGTCACCTTAGCTATTGAACATAATGCTTCATGTGTAAGAAAAGCTTGATGAGCAGTAAGAATAACATTTGGATAGGACATCAATTGAATAAGTATATCATCATCAACAATATTTGATGAAAAATCATTGAAAAAATATTTTTGTTCATGTTCATATACATCAAGACCTGCTCCACCTACTTGACCAGATTTTAGTGCATCAATAAGTGCCCTTGTATCAATAAGACCACCACGAGCTGTATTTATTAAAATAACACCTTTCTTCATTTTTTGTATTGATTGTGCATTAATTAAATGTTTAGTTTTATGATCAAGTGGTAAATGAATTGAAATAATATCAGCTTGTGCATAAATATCATCTAATTCAACATATTCAAAACCTAATGCATTTCGATCTTCATCTTTTATTTTATATATATCGTATGCAAGAACTCGACAACCAAAACCACGAAAAATTCGAATAGTAAATTGACCGATGCGACCTGTACCTAGAAAATCATCTTTTTTTTATCTCTTTCCATAAATATTATTGTCATATAATATTTTACCAAGTACTCCTACAGTTTTTCCATTCATATCAAATCCAACAAGACCATCAAGTCGAAAATTTCCATTTCGAACTCGATTATATGCATGATGTAAATGACGATTCAGAGTCATAACAAGTGCAGCCGCATGTTCAGCTACAGCATTTGGTGAATAACCAGGTACGTAACCTATTTCTATATCGAATTCTTCAGCTGCTTTTAAATCAACATTATTAAAGCCAGCACAACGTAATAGAATAAGTTTAATACCAATATGTTTTAATTTTTCAAGGTTTTGACGTGATCCATCATCGTTAACAAAAATACAAATGCATGCATAACCAGAAGCTTGTTTAACAGAATCTTTTGAAAGACGATTATGAGTATAGCTGATTTCATATTTTTCGGGTTGTTTTAAATCTTTAAGTTTAGCATCAAATGATAATTTATCATATTCTTTAGTACTATACATTAACATACGAAAAACAGAATTTTTATCGATATCATTTGATAATGTAGAATCATTATTTCGACGCTTCATTGATGTTATATGAATGTATGAAATAAAATTAAAATAAAATAAGACAATGAATAGAATCCTAGCAACTAGTTAGTAAATAATAAAAAAATATTTTGAATCATCTCATTAGTAAATTAACGACTTTTTTTGCTAAATTTTGCCAATAACTCTTATTCTGGTCAATCAATTTTTCAACTGTTGGACTCAGATCGTCTCTGAGTTTTGATGTACGAAAGAAAAAGAAATTTTTAAATTATAATAAAACAAGTTGAAAATTGGTTTTCCATGTAATCTAAAGAGAATCAGTTTTTGCTGAAAACACAGTAAAATTTTGATATTTTGAAAACGAAAGTTGGGAGAAGCAAACCACTCTAGTCATTTCAGTGACTTATCAAATGAACATCGTTTCGATCGAAAAGTAATTTCACATATAGAAAGATTCTCTCGTCAGATAGTATAATTCACAAATTAAATTTAGGAGAAAAATAGCCGCATATGTTACCATCGTTAAGACTTTCAGACGCAGTTTTTCAAAGTAACTATCAATCACCCAGAAAAAATAGGAAATTCTTTTCTATTTTCCTCTGTTTATGCTTCTTTTTTATTTCAAAGAGTATGTCCAGATGCAAGGACTATTTTTTGAATTAAAATTTTTTATTATACGAAATAGCACGTGTATATATAGCCGATCACTTTTTGAGATATTGAATTTTTAATGTTCTTTCAAATTAGAAATTAAATTTATAGAATGAAAGTCTACAGAGAATTTTAGGCAGCCAAATGAACTATTTTTTATCCTTGTTTCTTGAATATCTTCCGAAAAAGTCATGGTATAGGACTAAAAATTTCATGCGATTTGAATGCTCCTGGTTCAAGATTGACCTTATCAATATTCTTTCAAAAACTTACAAAATTAATTTTTCCAACACAAGAATCTATCAGAGAATGATAATTGACTTTAATTTTCATCTGAATCACGAAAATAAATACAATACAACATTCATTTCTTTCTTGATAATAAAAAATTCTGTTTCTGCGTGTGTCTTGCTATTCTTTTTTTATTTATTTATTTTTTGTTATCGGATCACATACAACTTGTAGGTGTTTTGTGCATATAAGTAAGTAAGAGAGGCACACATGTTGTTCTTATTATTTTCTTTTTTTTTTGAGACAATGCTCATTCGAAAACAAAAAAAAAACAAGCTAAATTAAACTTTTTAGTTGCTTCTTTTTTATTGAAAATGTTTGTCACCTAAACCAACAGTATATTTCTTATGTGTATTGGCAAGATGATCGCTAAATTCTTGAAATGGTGCTTTGGTGTACACTGTTTCTTTCCATAGATCAGGTGTTAAATATGAATATGTCATAGACATCGCTGAATATGTTGCTTTAGCTATAAAACAAAAACAGATTAATGTAATTATAAAAAAGAAAAAGAAAACATACCGAAATTGCCAAGTGTCGCAGTACATCCTTTAGCAGCTGTCCAACAATCTTGAATACCAGCCATTTGTAAAAGTTTTTTTGGTACTGGAGCACATACAAGACTTGTACCACGAGGGGCTGGAATTAAACGTACAAGTACACTACCACATGAGCCTGTTACCTAAAGTTATTATAAAATAAAATTAAAATATCATTTCATATGTATTTCAACATACTTTGCATGGTACTGTATGTGGTAAACCAATTTTGTTACCCCAATAACCTCGTCGTACAGGAATAACAGAAAGTTTAGCAAGAATAATGGCACCACGAATAGCTGTTGCTACTTCTTTTGAACATTTAACACCAAGACCAATATGACCATTACCATCACCGACGACAACAATGGCTTTGAAACGAGTACGTTGACCGGCTCGAGTTTGTTTCTGTACGGGCATAATTTTAAGTACTTCATCTTTAAGATTTGGTAAGAGACGATCAATAATATCGGCTTCCTAAAAGTTATTTAACGATTAAAATATATTGAAAACAAAAAACACATCAACAAACTTTGATAGGTAATGAAAATAGATAAATTTCTTCGAGTGAACGAATTTTGCCATCGTTGACTAATCGACCTAATTTTGTTACGGGAACCCATGCTTTAGTTGAATCTTCTTTTGGACGTTGACCACGACGACCGCGACCTCGACCACGGCCTAAATAAATTTTTCTTACAAGAATTTAATTTAAAAATTTTCTTCTATTTACTGTCACCACGGCCTCGACCACGACCTTCGCCACCTTCACCACGAGAGCCACCAGTACGGCCTATAAAGATTAAAATAAATCTTTAAAAATAATTATTTTTGTACTATTGACTACCTTCACCGCCACGTCCTAAAATTCAAAAGACAATATAAAAATAAAAATCTTTTACAATAAATCATAATATTTACCGCCTCGTGTACCAAAGCCACCGCGAGTTCCACCACGTTCTGCCATATTTGATGTTTTACTAGATAATTATCTGAAAACAAAAACAAAGCTTAAAATCATATATCAAAAAACCAAACAAATTTTTTTATTGATCAGAAAAGAATAATTGTTTTGTATTGAAATAAATTTTTTCACATAATTCTTCAAATGATTCTTGATTATCACGGATTGAATGAATTACTTCACATATTTGACTAAAAAAAACATCTAATACATGAAAAAATAATTTTAAATATGTATAATCACTCACATAATTGTACATGGTTCGTTTCGATCTTTAACCATTTTACCTGATGTCCATTTTTCTTTTTTAACCATTTCTGATGTAAATTGTGTTTTAATATGTGAATGAGATGTATGCGATGGTTTAATACCACACCAAGGTGCATCTACAATAATGATTTCATTTATATAACAAACGATTTAACAAAAACTGGACGAACTCGAGTCATTCATTTATTCAAAAAAGTAAAGGTTGATAATTCAACACTAAAATTAGTTTTCAAAGAAATCGATGATTTTCGATAGAAAGAAAATTTAACTAGTGATTTTGTTTTTCAAAAAGGAATGAAACTCATAACAATCGCTTAATAAACTTTCTAAAAAAAATCATGCGTATTAGAAAAATAAATAGAAAATGGAATAAATAGCAAAAATAACTCGAGTCGTCTAACCTTGTATTAATATATACCTGTTTCAACAAGAATTTTATCTAATGGTAATTGTTTAATAACATCTAAATTAGTTTGAGTTTTCATTGAACATCCATTTAATCCAATAAAATAACCTATTTGAATGAATTGTAGTGCTTCATCAAGAGTACCATCAAATGAATGTATCTAATTCATTTAAAAAAACAATTTTGTTTTGGTTATATTATTATTATTCAACATACAACTCCACCCTTTGTTATTTGATCTCGATATTTATATAAAATATCATAGAGATCTTTTGATGCTGCTCGATTATGAAGAAATAATGGTTTATTTAATGATATTAAATGTTTCAACTGAAATTCAAAATAACTAATAAAGAATAAAATTGATCATATTTTCCAAAATTTATCTCAATAATTTTAAAAAATTTTATTATTATTTTTTTTAATAATATTTACCGTTTTTGTTGTTCAATATCACAAAATTGTGTTCGTTCATAATCTAATCCAAATTCACCAATAGCAACAATTTTTTCAGAATTTTTTTGACATAATTCAATTACTTGATTAAGAATTTCATTTTCATTAGATTCATTAAATTCGCTACATCGAGTTGGATGATAACCACAAGTTGTATACAAATTTTCTACAGAATATAAATTCATATACGTAAAGAAACACGAAGAAATAAAAGAATATTACCATATTGTAAGCATAATTCTAATGCTTGAATTGTTTCATTATGAGTACCAGCAGTAATAATAATCTAAACAAAACAAAACCAGGAAAACATGACCAAAAAAAACCACAATGAACTAAATACTTTGTCAACACCAGATTGAAATGCTCGTTTAATTACTTGATCAAGATCAGCTAAAAATCTTACACATAAATATACATATATATATATAAATCTTTAGTTAGTAATTACAATCATGTTTTTTCGAGCTACCATAAACACCTTGGTACATTCCATCTGCAAAGAACGATTTTTCAAAACAATAATAGTAATTTAATTGACCAAAATTTTATTCATACCAGTTAGATTAGCACCAATGTCTATGAAAAAAAAACAAAAAAAGATATTAATACAATATTTTGATATCGTTGTTATGTCTTATAACGGAAGAAAATTTTTGCCCTTAGATTATAACTGCAGTTTTACGGTAGTTTTCAAATGGATGCCGTCGCTCAGAAAAAATGATTTTCGGATTTCGACTTGAAATTTTGCATAAAGACAAGTCTTAACGAGAGTAGTTTCTGATCTTTTGATTTGTTTCTTTTCTGAAATACAAACATTCAAATCTACCGGTTTATGTAAGCGATATAAAAGACACACTTTTTGTATAGCTATATCTTAAGATAAGAATAACGACACGATCTGAAACATTCACAAAAAAACTATTCTGTGTCTCATTGCAAAGCTTCAAGTCGAAATTCGAAAACCAGTTTTTCTGTTGACATGACATTCATTTAAAAAGTGCATTATCTCCGCAGAAATAACCTAGAATATGACATTTTTAAGGACTAGCAAAAATTATGCTAGAATGAAATATTCTCCATAAATTCCAAGCATTTTTAAATTAAACAATAACCTATTAAATGTTGATATGCGCATGATTGAGACTGTAACATTCGTGCGTATCAACAGTTTATATTTATTTAGCTTTGCCATCATTTTTTTTGTATAGGTTTTTATTATTTATAGGAAGTTCCATTTGTTAATGATCTTCTTCAAATTCTTGTTTTTCTTTATATTTTCTTATGCATCTATTAACTTTCTACGAGTTCTATTTCTCCTTCTCTTTTATTATTATCAGAAAATGAAAAAAAAAAAAACGAGAATTTTTCTTTTCTTTTTCTTCTTTATCTAAAACATGAAGGCTGTGTATGCGTACGTGACGAGTGTGTGGCTTAGCAACAGAACAAACACACATACGACTCGTTGTTAATCATACATTTACTATTCGAGCATTGTGGTGTTGGTTGTCTCAACATATAAATCTAAACGAACGATAATCGCTTCCACCAGTAATTTAAATTTGGTAAAATAGAACAAAAAAACACAATGTTGTATATGCCAGCAACAACAACAGCAACACCAGTTGTACTTCAAGAAACGCAACAAGTTCCATTGCAATCATCATCACGTTATTATATGTTACAATCGGGACCCATTATTCCAGCCGTACCTATTCTTAATACAACATATGTTTATCCACGATATGGTTTTGTACCAAAACCAGTGGAAACATCTGTTACAAAAGAAGAAATTGAAAAATCACAACCAACACAAATATTCGAAGGTCTATTATTTTTTTCTTCGTCACATATTTATTCTAACAAAGTTTTTTTTAGTTGCACAACCGGTTCAACATGTAGTACATCATCATGTTCAACCATGTACAATAAAAACATGTCCTGGTTATTGTGAATTATGTTGTCCATGGACAGAACATTCAACACATCAGCATAGACGATCACAATCATCATCACCAACAACAACTCATGAACATCAACGACAATCTCGTCGTGATGGATTTGAACGTGATGAATTTGATCAAACATATCCATCAAAACATGAAACAATTGATGAAAAAATTCAACGTATTCGACGTGAATTACGTGATAGTTCATCACAAACACATCATAAATCAACTGAAACTACTGATAATTATCAATCATCACCAATTATTGAACATCATATACATCATAGACCACGTTCAACTTCACGTCCACGTTCAACTTCACGTCCACGTAGTGCATCATCAACACGTGATCCATGGCGTTCATCAAATCAAAATGATTATCCATGGCGAGATACACATTTACCAGCTTATCGTGAAGCAACATTAGCACGTACTCAAACACCTGTCAATGAAACTCGTACATGGAAAGAAACAGCTCATGAACGTAGTCATCAAAATACACAAAATGCAACAACATATCATAGTAAAAAAGATTATGTTTATCGGCCAAAATCTGAAACTGAAGCACGTAAATGGTATATACAATCAACAGGCAAAGATCCTGATCGTGAAGTACATCAAGCATTACGTGGTGGTACAACAACATATAAATATAATGGATCACCAACATCTTATTATGATAAACATCAAAGTAAAACTTATGATCATTCATTTTATTCAGATGTACCAACAACAACTAAAACACATACATTAAGAAAAATTGATTCAACACAACATCATAATTTATATGCATGTAATGAACCATGTTTACATGTTGTACCTAAACATGGTAGTACATCCGATCCACCTTATATGAAAATTCTTAATGCACCAGTAACATATCTTCATTAGATTGACTTTAATTAAAGAAAAAAAAAAACAAAAATTATGGTATACATTATTCTTATTTTTTATTGAACAAAAAATATCTATAAATATTTTATGTTGTGTTCATAAAAAAGAGTTGTATTATGAATTCTCGTTTATAAAATTAACCTCAAGAATAAATACAGTTTCTAAGGATAATTCATCGACAATGATGACGACATTAAAAACAACATAGAAGTAGTTTACAATGATGAATAAATACTTATAACTGCAAGAAAAAAATATTCACACGTGATGCAATCAATCGGATTGTGTCATTCAACATTTGACACACCCAAAAAGAAAGTTCTATTAACCATTCATGTTCTACTTTCTATATCAAAGTAATTTTCGAGATCATTTTTTTGAACATGTTCTTGTCTCATGAATATGTGTAAAACAACAAGTAAACTCAATTTTTTGAAAAATTTAAACATGTTCAGGAAAAACTTGTCGTGAAAATTTTGTAGTCGAAAGAGTTCTCTACAAAATGCCTTATATAGTTCTTAAACATACTGTTTGAACTTTCAGGATCTGTAATTGGCAATGTACAGAGCGTCCTTTTTCATGTCACGTTGCTAACGCTAGTTTATCAATAATAACTCGCTAGAAATCATAATCTATAGAACTAAGTTCTTTTAGGGTATCTGGAGTAACTCAACATATATCTGTCACATAAAACTACTTATTCGCAATCATGTCGTTAACGAATGACAATGCTCACATATAAATAAATAGTATTCCAAACTATGATATTCATTTTCAAGTTCAAGTATATGAAAGACAACAACATATCCTATATCGCGAAAGAAAAAACTAAAATATCATCTTACCTATAAATCGAAGTTGTCCATGATTGGATTCTTTCGTTGCCATTGAAGAAAAAAAACTTCTGAAATAGAAAGATAAATATTGTCTTTTTGTTTGTTATTGTTATCTTTCACACGCACACAGACATAGGAAAAAAAGAACTGGAGAATAATAATAATAATCAAACAAATGAATTATAAGTTATATCGTAGAAAAAAAACAAAAACAAAAACCACGCTCAAGTTCGTCATAAATACACCCAGACAAAAACATTTTGAACAACGAATAAGCTACTAAACATATTTACATATATGAAATCACGCGTACGAATTAATGAAGAAGATATGAAAAGGAAAAAACGACAACTGTTTTTATAGCGATATACATTATCGAAATGTATATAAAATTATTGCAAAAGAAGAAACAAAGAACTGAGGCTTTTTACGTGTACGCACATGTATTAGTAATCAAGAGATCTTTAAGATCTGACACAAAAATAATAATAATCATAATCATAACATATAAGTAGAATTGATTTTCTGAGGAAACAAAAAATATGGATTAAATTGGAGATTCATCAAGAGAGGAATTAATATGAATTTCAATCAAAAGCAAACAATTGAGCATATAAATATAAATTGCTAAGATATAATAAGAAGCGATTTGCGTGGTGTTTGTACAAATTCAACACTTGCTGATCGTCGTAATGAAAGATGTGATATTAATGGTTGTTGTTGAGAAGATGATTGATGCGAATTTTGTGTTGGATTCGATTGATTTGAAGTTGATATTGAACTAGCGGATGGTTGTTGAAGACGATTATTAACCATTGATAAAGCCTAATAAGATAAAAATAATATTTTTCAAATAAAATTTTTTTTTTTTTTGTATAAAATAAACTTTACTTCAAGTTTAATTGCTTTTTCTTTAGTAAGTAATTCATCGGGAAACGATATTTGGTTTTCTTTTGCCAATTGTCGTAAATCAAAATAATATTTAGCATAAATAGATGAAGCAACATTAACATTAAATTGAAGAAGTTGAACATATTCACGTTCTAATTCGTTCCTATAAAAATTTATATTCAAATCATTTTTGTCAAACATGATCTAAAAGAATTATTGAAGTTTACAGGACAGCAAATCGCTCTCTATCCTACAGACGCTAGCTAGGAATGATCACAGGCAAGTATATCAATAATATCTCGTTATAAAAAGTCTTATTGTATTTCTTAATGGTTAAGTAAACGAAGGATGAAGAAATCTCTCTGTGATTAGGAACGGCAGCTACATCGTGTTTCATGTTTTAATTCTTGAGGGATTGCTCTAACAAGATTTTTGGTTACTTCTACTTACATTTCGTTAACAGCTATGTCTTTAAGAATTTGACAAAAGTCAACATTCCATACTGCTTGATCATCCCATACTTTTGATGCTAACATGACAGCTCCTATAGATATTCAAATTATATTTTATATTAAAAACATAAATAAAACAAACCAAGTAAAAGTCGTTTCCAATTCGATGGACATAAATCAAGTTCACCATAACTTAAAACACGTTCGAGATAAACCTTAACATAATATAAATATACGATATAGATTTATAAAAATATTCTAGTCATCTATTTCTTTACATAATTGTTTATTCTAAGGAAAATTCTAAGAGGATTCGAGCTGATGTAGATTCTTTTAATATATATAAATTTATTCATTTCCATATTACGAGCGAAATCATATCAATAAAAGCAAGTATAACTCTTGAAAGAGAGAGAGAGAGAGAGAGCCGTTCTCACATGAAAACGAAACGTTTATTTTGATCGTAACTTTCAAGATATTCTGAAACCAAACCGATCTATCTATTGACAAAATTTTCACCGGAAAGTTTTTTATAGAATTATTGTTCGGTCACTCACCGAAAGATATTAGGTAATAGGTTATCGACTATGCTGATTCTATGAGAAATCTCAGTCTTTATATATTGGTTTTCCAGACTAACAAACTTTTTGTATCTGTTCAGATTATGCAGCATATAATATTGCCTAATTTACAAGGCAATAACATTTTCTCTATAAAACTACGTATGTTTATATTCGTAATGAGTATGGCCGATAACTCATAATCTATTAACACTGTGTGAGAAAGCAATTGTGTCAGTTATTTTGAAGCGTTCTCTGATCAAATGCCATATCAATGAAGACTCTTCATTGTTAGTTAGTACATTTATTAAATCCAATTCTCGAGATTCTTAGCAGAAAAACTTATTATTCTCTATATGGAAAATTCTTTTAATGATAATTTCTAAAGATGCTGAAACAATAGGTCATGGACCTCCAACATAGATAGTTTTCGTTGATATTAGTTGAAGAAAAAAGTCTTGAACATAAAAGTTGAAATTTTATACATATCAAAAAAAAAATTTACCAATGTGACAATAGCACATTCAGCTGTTAATTGTGCAGCTGTAAAAAGCATACGCATAAAACGATAAATTGTTTTTTGTTCCGGTATTCGTTTATCATAATCATCTGGTATAGGCTCTTTCTAAAAATAATAAACGAATTTAAATTAGAAAAACAAAAAAGAAAAACCAATAATTTTTCTAACATACACTTAGTGGATGAAGTTTTTCATCAAATATATTCATTGTTTTATTTGATTTTCTATGAAGAATATGTGAATGTATAGCAATACTAACACATTTTATCATAGCTTTCCAATTTGGTTGTGAAACAGTTGAATCATCAACATAAATTGTTGAACATGAATTTGAATGTTTTTGTAATTTATTTACTGTTTTTGAATGTATTGTATCACGTTGATATCGTGGTTGACAAGGTGAAAGTGACAATGTAGAATTTAATGTTGTTCGATAAAGACTTTGATTTACCGACATAGTTGTATTCTGTTCTCGAGTATTTGATGATTCTGGTAATGTATTAACTGAATTTACCTGAAGAAGAACAATTTTATTGTTGATACAAACAAAAATTAATGTTGTTTTACTTCTAATTGAGATGATAATGAAATTGGTTGCTGTGTAAATTCTTTCGATGGATCTATTCAAATAAAAATTTATTAAAAAATAATTTTTAATTGAATTATTTTTACTAACGTAGAATCGATTGAAAATATGTTGATGTTGTTGGATTATCAGATGGAGCAAGTTCAACATCATTATCTGAAATATAATTCAATAAAATATTCTTCTTCTTTTTATTTCTTTTTATAAATATACTATTTCCATAGATTTCCGAAACATGAATTTTATTATCATATGCCTTTGAAGATGTATCGTTTAAAATTGTTGATTGGTAATTTTCCCTATGAAAATGAAATATAGATATATCAGAGAAAATTAGAAATCGTTTTATTTTTAAATTTTACTCGTATTTATTTGATGTTTTATCACAACAATAACAGCAACAACTGATGATGGCACCCATCGATGAACATTTTACATAATATAGATATGCCTTATATAGGCCATCATTTTATTATTCTATATATATACATATAAATAAACAAACAAATATAGGTATTAACTAAATGGCAGTATAGAAATATGATTCATCAAATACTGTTGGATAATTGAAAAAGAAAACCTTCTCAAAGTTGAAAAGAAAAATATTCATTGAAAAAATATTTTTTTAATAAAATATTTTACATTCAAAATCTTTGTATTCTTTTTTTTTAAATTAGTTCTTTTGAAATACAAATCAATTACAGATGTCACTGATAGACATTTGGTTTTTCTTAGGTTTTAAGGTTTAGAGTTTATTTATTAATAATAAAACCTTTAGATCGAGTCTATTCGTTATATAAATGATCTATTATTTCCTCATCCTTATTATAATCAATCACTTGAACATAAAACTTTTCGAATATTTTTTCTCTCACCTTATAGTATATCACTGTTTATTTTTCGTACATTGATCAAATGCATACAAAGGGTGTCCGATCATACTCGAGTTTTTTTCTTTTTCCTTTTCATGGCTGACTGCCTTTTCTTCTATACAATATTTTTCGACTGCACTATTCTTCTTAGTTACATTTATCTTTTCATAACTGGTAGAATTTATTATACATTTAGTGTACTACACAAGCAAAATCATGAAATACGAAATGCTTACGTTTGTTATTCTATTTGTATTGAGTAAGACAATATAGAACATGATCAAGATAAAAAGACATAAAAACTTTTTCTTTAGTTCCATCGGTAATAAGCTTAGAATGTTATTTTTGTAATTCAAATGACGATGAAAATTGTGCAAGTGACAATATACCTGATGGATATAAACATCATTGTAATGTGACTTCTGAACCTTATTGTCGAAAAATTGCTCAAACAAGTATAAGAAAATAAAAATAAAAAAAAAACAAACAAGTTTTACTTCTTCTTTTGTAGTTGATAACATAAAAAGTGTTGTACGAACATGTGGTACAAAATCTGGATCAAAATCATGCTATAAAACAGCCGGAAAGAATACGGTATAGAATACGTTTTTGTTATTTCAATGATTTTTTCATAAAAGCTATATATTTTTTGTAGGCGAGCGTTTGTTCATGTAATACTAATTATTGTAATAATGCAATAAGTTTCAATCAACAACAACAAAAAGTTATGACCATGATTTCATCGATTATTATTCTTGCAATCACAATGATTTTTCTTCGTTAATGTTGTATATCAAAAATTAGAAAAAAATGCAGAGATCAATTAGTTATTAGTTCTAAATCAATTCTATTTTCTCCTTCTTTTTTCAGTATTTTTCTTTTTGAAACTAATGATCATAGAAAGAAGATCTTTCTATTCTTTATATTTGAGTAAAGTCTTAATAGAGCATTTTTTTGTCTTGTGTTAATAATCTAATATCAGCATGTGTAGGTCTAATATTTCTATTGAATATATTTCTATAATACTATGATATAGAATAGTTAAAAAGAGAAAAAGTCTTGATAGAATAGTTTATTTTTTTCATAATTCATATAAAAGTTTATATTACATTGAATAAAATGTTTAATAATCGTATGCCTCAATTTCATTGTTTTCATTATTATTTTCAAGCGAATCAAAAATAGAAGTTGAAATCGGATATCGAAGTAAAGCAATACATCCACCAAAACCAAGACGAAATTGTTGTCCTTCTGGTGAACGATCTGTAACTAAATATAGACGAAGATTCATTTCTTTATAATTTTCAGTTAAATAATCAATTAAATTCATTTCATCAATACATTCAATTTGTTCATTATCATTTTCTTTTATTATTGTTTTCAATTTGTTTTGTGCTTCTTGTTCATTATTAGCAACAATAATTATTTTTTCTTCATCTCGTTTTTGATAAACATAACGTTTTGTTATTAAATCTTCCCAAATAATTAAACGATCAATAAGACTACTACCTTCATTAAGAATTATTGATGTTTCATTAACACCAATTGCATATGATACCATATTCGTTTCATTTGTTGTTGATGAAAGATTTATTTGACAAAAAACTTCATCAAGTAATTGTCTTTCTTGTGTTAATTTAATATCAGCTAATAAATCAATACATAAACGAAGTGTTTCTTGTAAACCATTATCACCACCATAACTAACATCAACAATTCGAAGAATTTTATTTTGTATTTGTGCACCAAGTAAATCACTTTTAACAAGTTCTTGTTTTAAATTAGCTGAACCACTTAAAATAAATCCATCAACATTAGATAAACCATGTTGTTGATTATTAAGAAAAACTGATTTAGCATTTTCAGCAACTTTACTCAAATAATTATGAATTGCTTCACGACGTAAACGTTCAAAACGTGGAGCTGATTGTCCACCACGGCCATGTTTTTTTGGTAAAGTAACTTGTATACGTTTAAGAATAGTTGTACCTTGTTGTGGATCAAGACGAGCAAATAATGTTCCATTACCATCAATAACAATAATTCCATATCGACGTGCATTGAAATCATTTACACTATCCATTATTTGTTGTTGAAGAAAATCAGTTATAAAATGTGATTCACATCGATATAAACCATATTGTAATGGTTGTAATGGTTCAATACACATGGAAATTTTTGTTTCACGATGTTGTTCATCATCGTAAACAATACCTGTGTAAAGAACAAGACCATTTTCTGGTAATGTATTTTGTGTATATAAACGAAGTCGTCCTTGAGCAGCAGATAATGCTTGTTGAACATTATGTCGAGTTTGAGAAGATTTAATACATGATGATAGACCATATTCGTCAGTAAGAAGTTTCATTGTTCGTGCTAGTTGTGATTGAGCAGGAACAATCATTGTTACTAATGATGTACCACGTCCACGTAATGACGATAAATATTGAATAGTTCGACGAAGTTTCCATTTTTCAATGGCAGAATCATCATTTTGCATTGCTGTAGCCATAGAAGATAGTCTAAATAAGTTCTCTTACAATGTATAAAAGTTATTATGTCCATGGCAATGATGTTCAGCGAGCTTTTATAGTTGAGAATCAGAAGGAACAATACCATTATCTGCCAGATGTAATACTAAAATTTCAGAGTTTCATAAGGTGAAATAATTACGAAATTCCAACGTTAAATACTAGTTGCTGTAATTTCGAAACTTACATGCAGAACAGAATGAAGGTGTAGGAGAAAGGAAAGAAAGAAGTATGAAGAAAAAAACAATATGAATCAACATAATTGACGTTGTAAAATATGAATCGCATTTTCTAAATTTGTCATAAATTTTCTTAGAATCTTACCAATTAATCGTTCTATCGAATCGGTTACAAATATTGAAACCTATTTCATAGCATTTAATTAGTTTTTTTTTTTTAATTAACTAGACGATTATTATCGATTTCAATGTAATGATACTCCAATAAACTATGTTGCTTCATAAAAAATATTGAATTCATACATGGGAAACATGATATATTCGATCGACAAAGAAGATGAAATGATCAGTAATACAAATATATAAATGATTTATATAAATTTTGAGCAGATAATATCCTTAAATTATCAATCATGATTTGACAAAATGTCAATTTAAGATATATAATACATTAAAAAATGTGATTATATCAATAAAACATTCAGATTTTCTCAGGAAAAAAATGCAGAATAAATAAAGAAGAAACCAAAAAAAAACATGTAATAGGAATTCAAAAAACATTTATCTTCTCAGCAATCAGTACTATTGTCACTGCTGCTAGTGGCTTGTAATATCTCACACAAATGGATTTTTTTCTGTTATTTCCATATACATATAGTGATTTATCTGCTGTAATAAAAGGAGGTCAGCTGCTCTAGGCGTTATTGTAACATCTGCTTTATTACAATAACGCAAGGATTATATTTCTCATTGATAAAAATCTTTGAATTTTTTAAAGTTGAACTATTCTTTCCTATTTATATTTGACTATTTCAATTTCTATACTTTCGCTTTAATTTAATTAATTGCGAATAAATCCTAATTACTGATTTTTAAATTATTTTACTTATTAATCCGTTCATTTATTTTACTGAATACTTAAATTTTTGTCTTACATGGGTATCATGAAATATATTTTTGATTTCTATTTCATTGCTTTTCACGAGATAATTTCATATTAAAACTTTCGATATTTTTTATCTCGTGAAATCGATTCGTAACCTGTTAATTCTATGAATGGACATATTTTGTCATATATAGCATTTTTATTGAATAAAGTTTCAATAGAAAATTCTTGTTTTTTTTATGTATGAGTTAGACATTCTTTTTTAGATAGAAATCCTTCACTTTTGTTAGAAGCGTGAGACACTAATTCACACGCGTTCAGTTTTGATGATAAAATCTAATCTGAATCATATTTTAATGGAAGTTTTTCTTATCGATGGTGCTACAGATTTTATTCAATAAGAACTTCAGATTCATACAGAAAAATTTATTCAATGAAAGTTATATAAATACCAATATGCATTTATTTTAAAAAATCTTCAGGATGTAAATCAAATAATCATTCGAATAGAAAATTGCATTATCGAACACATTCATTCTAATAAAAAATGATGTTTTCTACCTTCCAACTTTTCTGTCATCATGAAAGACTCAATTAAGATGGTAGAAAATCGGTTCAATCATTAAAAAATCCTACCAGACATACATATTACTTATTTTTAATAATTTCTATTATCTTTGCATTGATATAATTTTTACAAATACGTAATTACGTTTATAATGTCTGTTTCAGTTGAAGTTTTTCTATCTTGCTTATGCACTATAAGACACAAATCTTGCTTAATGTTGAAAATGTATATTTTTAACAAGAGCATTAACAGATACTTCGATATCGTTTATCAGATGATATGTGTATCAATTATTCTTTATTGTTTCACAATTTCATATCAAGTTTTCTTGTTACGATCTGCGATAAAATTGTATAGATGAACTCAGTTTCATAAAATTGTATGCTTATGTTGATTTTGATGATATATTATAATATTGAAAAATAGTGATTAGCCTGTTGCTACTTGAAAAAATCAATAACGGAATCGAATAGATTCTCAATTAATAATCATAATAACTTTTTTGAAATTTGATGTAATACGATTTTATGTAAATGTTGGAGCAGCATATTTTTCATAAACACATTTTTCAATAAAAATAATGAAATATATTCAACGTCCAGTTATTAAAATATGAACTGTTATTTTCTGAATCGATTCTTGGACAAAATATTTTTTTAAACATATTAACAATTGCTTTTTTGTCAAGTTCTCTAAGAATGTTGAATGATTATTTTATCACTCATACTCAAATTAAATTTTAAAAGAACGAAAACAAATAAGCAAATCTTACGTTACTTAAATTCAATTTTATTGCTTTAAATTTACCTGACTTCATATATGTATTTGAATATAATCTATTTATATATCAATACATATTTAATTATTGTTATTACCATGATAAATCTGTGTAGGCATTTCGAATGTGAAATGAGATACTGATAGAGTGTGGGCGAGTGTGCGAGTATGGATGTAGATGTAACTGTGTTGCAAGTGTTGGGTATGCAGATTGGTTAGGTGTGTTTGACTGAAAAAGATTCATTAACAATGTAAATAAATTTATACGAAAAAAAGAGATGTACAGCTTTAAGATCAATATGAAACAAATAAGCAAAATTTTGTTTCTTTATATGAAGTTCTTGGTTTATTTTTGCTTTTTCTTATGAATGTGAGTCTGACTAGAGAGTCTAGTATAGTTGTAATCCAAGACTGAATGGAACCGGAATTCGCTAGTTCGACTTCGGTTTGGTTTGGATTGTCTTTGAAAACTTAGTTTTAATTGTTTTCGATCTCTGATTCTGATCAAGATGTAGACGATGATTCTTTTATTCCTCTGGAGTGTATGTAATCGTTGGATCACAACGTTCCAATTTAATCTCTGCATCATTGTGTTTTACAGTTGTATGTAAGAAAAGGTCTTGGAANGAAATTTCCATTGATTTTTGCCATCTTTGACAACATCCTCTCGAATATTGTAGGTCATAATACGAAGTGATGAAGACCAATGTTCATTCGACATGGTTGCTAGTAATCGTAAGAACAGCAGCGAGAATGTTGATTTAGTTGTGTACTATGTGGTGTGCTGAGAAAAGCAAACTTGAGAATGAGGAAAAAAAGGAATATAGAAAGAAAAAATAATAAAACATGCTTGCATGAGAAAAAATCATGCACTGGTTTCGATGAAATAGAAAAAAAATCAAAAATTTCGCTGTTGTGATGAATAAGTCATCTACCTCATTAGGTTATTTCGATGAGAGAAACAAACCCTTCGTCAAAGAAATACCTAGTCTATTTAATATCGATTTTTGGTCCGCTTTGGACTAAATCGTAAAGGAAATGTTTATGATGTGTCTCAAGAGTGTAGGTGTGCCTGTGTATATAGATGTAAATTTTCTCTTTATTCAGACCTACGCCCACACCCTCGACCTTGGCATTCATCTCGATACCCATATATGAATACTGAGTTGGGTATCTGCCTTGTTGAATATTGTAACTTGTAACTCGCTGTTACCCAGCGTATAGATATCATGACATCTCTGTTCTTGTGAAGATCTTACTAAATTGTGTATCTGACATCTATTTATCTTGAGTTACTTTCGTTTGTGAAAATATTAACAAGAAATTTTATTTTGTTTAATTTTCGTAACTGTATATTGAAAAAGAAGAATACTTGATGAAAATCTTGTCAAAAATGGACATTAAATCAAATCTAATTGTCTACAAAGAGAAGAAAAGTAACAATCTCGTATTACCTCGCACTTCATTAAAAGTATTTGGTCTTTATTGCCAGACAGACTTAGATAAAACTAACTCAAACTAATATACTCTCAACACACATTGAGAGTAGAAGTTAATAAGCTAAGAAGTTCTACAAAATGGTTTTGATATATCCTTGGATTACACTGAAGTATAGTGAACTATGGAATTTTCGTTTTTTCCTACTTGAATCATCTATCTATATAACCAAGATAAATAATTCAGAGGTGCCGCTAAGATTCAGTACTTATTGAATAAGCAAAATAAACAAAAATTTGTTTCCTTTTTCGAAAAATGTAAAAAATTGAGTATTGAAATAAATTTGATGTCAACATAAAACTTCAGCTATACAATACGAAAATATGATGTTTGTATTGATTTCACTGTTTTTTTCACAGTTAATTCTCAAATCGATTATCCTATTTTGTGAAACTCGATCTACTAGGAGTGTTCAAGTATAGGAGTAAAAGCTTGAACTCTCTCTGATGTCTCAGATAAAGCCCGACATAGAATTTCGAAAACCTTATTTCATTCTTTTCTTATGTAGCACCTATTTTCGACAATTGTAACGTCCACTAAACGAAAATTATCAATCTAATAGCCAAATAACATGAAATAGAAAAGAAAATATCTACATTAGATTAAACTTCACAAATGATTACTGTGAATAAAAAGATCAGCATCATTCAATATCTGTATTTTCATCGTCATTATCTTCACGCGTCCTTAAGTTATAGAATATCACCGAACACGTACGCTGTCGTTAATTTATGGGACAAAAATTATCGAATCCGAAGTCAAAGTTAAAATAGCTTGACTTTGTGGGTTTCCAGTAACAAATCGCAACAGACAGTATATGAACTATTTTGTTATTGAGCTGTTCGAGGATTAAACTAAAAGTGATGGTGAAGAGATGTGCCTCGAAATAAATAGAATAAAACAAGCTCTCTGTGATTAGCAATAGCAGCTAGATTATGTTTCATATTTTAATCCCGTAGGTATTGTACTAACAACTTTCATAGATTAGGACTAACATTCAATGTCGTTATTGAATATCTTAAAATTCAAATATAATTGATGACAATAAAATGAAATTAGAAGCCTTTAATCAAT